TGGTATTAATTATTTTACTTAAAGAAGATGCCAATGTTATTATATTGTTTATGATTCGGACACTTATCAGGGATTACTCATATCTGTTTTGTTTAAAGACTAAAGAGAGGCTAATTAGGAATTACCCATTTATTTAGGCCCGGTATTTGGAGCAGATCAAAATATTGCAAATCATACTGTATGACGTTAATAAAAAACTAATCAATTAAAGTCATTAATCCTTTGTGCCTATTTAATCTTATCTGTAATTAAGATAATCAGAGAAAAAAAAAAACAAAATTCTGACAGAAACTTTCCACTTTCAAATTATTATTACGGACCTATAATTAGGTACCTATCCCTTAGGACGGTGAAACTGAATTTGAGTAAAGGGATGATTTGAAGGTCCCCTTAGTTAAAGGACCTTACAATACCGCCAACGTATCTTGGCGAGTCTGAAGTTAGCCGAGTAGCTGCGCAGTACACAGTTTTGTTCCTAAAAGACCCATTGCGCAGACAAACGGCTAACTTCAGACTCGCCAAGATACGTCGGCCGTACTGTACTTAGGTAACTGGGGATGTTGGTGAAAACAGGCATTACGAGGTTGTCTTTTTGTTTTGGGGTTTTATAAACTAGAGAACTTGTACCACACAAAACGAGAGGTCTCTGGACGATTGGATGATTCACTCCGCCCTCCCAAAAAGCCAACATAGATATGTACCTAATTAAAATGTGAAGGGATAAAACGAGCATCAAATTGACGAATGAAATACGGAGGAGGGGACTGACGGAAAATATGTTTTTATTAGGATATAATAATAATAATTATATTGGAGCCATGAACACGAATACAAATTATCATTCGAACGACTTATTGTATGTGAGATGAATCTAATTACCATTTGAAGAAATCTATTAAAAAATACTTTAAAGGATCCTTACTTGGCCAAGCAATGAGCAGCAGTGAGCACCCATTCGTGGTGGATGAGGGAGCATCCACAGGAGCTGACACCTCCGGCACCGTTCACCATACGGAGACTGCCCTGGAAGGGGATCTGACCTTCCTCTGCAGGCCAGCCTTGCACGATCCTTGAGCCTGATGGTTCAGCTGTTGGTAATGGTAGATTGCTTTAAGTATTTTCTTAAAAAATTTCGAGAAATTTAACAGAATAGTTTCGACAGTTTTTGATTATAGATAAAAAACTGACGTAGGTGACATGTTTGTATTAAACAACAAAAAGCAAGTCTTCTATTTATTTTGGTTAATAAATTGACATTTAAGAATAACGATTATTTTCCTATTAAGTACAAAATGACTTTCACCAACTCCTACTAATTATTGTATATTCGATAATATCTGTCAGATTCTTAAAGGATTTTTTTTAGGATAACTACGTTAACAATTATTAATAATTATAGATTCTTTCCGTGGATAAAACATTGATAAATTAATAATCTATTTTGTGTTAAAAGCGTAGTTATAGTTTCTGAAATTATTATTACTACGAATGTTACGTACGATGTATGTAGCATAGTAATATTCGTAGTAGAGTGCTACGGCGTAGCTCGTAGCAACTTTACCGACAGGGTCAGATGTTTTATGGCCTATTTACAAAAATAAATTCATTGTTTCATTGATTTAATTGTAGAGTAAATAATTAATAGATTATCTTTAAGTAGCACTGTTTAAAACCTCAGAAGTTTTACGTAACTTCTGAGGTTTTAAACAGTGCTACTCAAACGAAATAACTTAGCGACTGTACATTAAATTAATTGTACAGTTTCCTGTCGTACCTTAAGCAATCTATTTTATTAAAAATAATCTTAAACTCAATCTAAAACTATCCGGTTTTGAAGTCCACGACCGTTATCATGTCACCTCCGGTAATAAGTTGACAAATATATTAATTATTATCTTTGTGTTTTCACCCTGATTATTGTATTATTAAATAGGATTACTAATTGATATGTAGGTAACTAGATATACGGCGCGTGTGCAATGTATAATCTACAGATATATTATTTTGAGCCGTTTTTTATTTACACCCGATAATCTTCGAAACTCGAAGTAAACCGTACCAGGTGTAATTGCTTATTGAGTTGCATCCAAACTTCCAAACAAAAAACTGTGGATCATTCAAAGAGTTATTCTGTGTGAGAATCGAATTCGCGACACGCTGCGGTTCGAACGGTTGCCCAGTCACCGCGCTGCCCATGCAGTGGAAATAATATTTTTAAATGTTTTTATATATTTTTTTTTTGTTATGACATGGTAGAGAATATTCTACAATCATGAGCACTAATCAAATAAATAATAATCTTTTATTTAAACTTATCTTATGCATTTGTTTAGAAAAGGTTGAAAATTGGTCACAACAAGACATGCTGCTAAATCTATACTTACTATAATTATATTAATATTATAAAGCTGAAGAGTATGTTTGTTTGAACGCGCTAATCTCCGGAACTACTAGTTCGAATTGAACAATTATTTTTGTGTTTGTTAGTCCGAGGAAGGCTAAAAAACATCACGCTATGATCTTTAGGAGCTGAGCAGCGGGTCAATATAGGATATTCATGCTCCAACCTGATCTTCTACTGTGAAACTTACCATCTCTCAAGTCTTCAATGATGGCTGGCTCAGCATTTAGAACTGCAGCCTGAAATCAGGATGATGATATGTCACATATTTTTGTTGGCTAATTTTAGCTAAACTATGTAGAAGTTTTATTCTATTTCGGTCCACACGGTTGTTTCCTAGTTCAAAAATAAATTAATTCGACGTTTCAATACAATAAAATATTGAATAATAACTATACTTTTATTCATCGATCTTTCAATTCACAAAATTTTCGATATTTTTAGCTAATTTTTAAGAAATAAGTATCAGCTACTATGAAAAGTATATTTTTTGACATTTGAATAAAAGTATTGAATTTGACTAGTTGGAAAGTACCGTATTAGAATTTCATTCATAGTGCAACTTTCTTAATGTAACTACGCATAATAAAAAAAAGGAGGACTAATTCTAAAAATTGTTTTTTCATTTAAGAGAAGAGTTTATTTGTGATTTCGATTTGTTTTAAATTGACTTACCGATGCATATCCAGCTACAAGCAGCAATCCCAACAAGTACGTGGCCGCCATTTTGAACGATCACCTAACGAATGGTCAACTGCAGTATTTTTAATTACTAATTATATTAAAATAATCTATATTATCTTTTCTTATCAAACATTAGAATTAAATGATAATATTACACGATTATCTAGGATTATGTTATTTTATCTACGTCATTAATTAGGATTTTTTATCAATTTTGATACTGTTTGTAGATTTCGAGTGGGTATTTCAACAATAGGGTGAGCAAATCTATTATGTCTGTAGGATTTATTGATAAAGGTATTATAAATAAAATAAATAAATTTATTGAAAAAAACATAGATCACACTTTATCGAGATAAGTAGTTCAATTGTTTTAGTAATAATTTAAGTTGTAACCTAACTTTTATAAGAGACAGTTAACTTAATCTAGATTATATGTATATATAAAGAGAATAGTTTTTGGTATAAAAACTATCCTATGTCCTTTCTTCAGTTCCAAACTATGTCTGTACCAAGTTTCACAGAAATCGGTTCAGTAGTTTAGGCGTGAAGATAAGACAGACAGAAAGAGTTACTTTCGCATTTATACTACTAGTTTGGATTTGGATATGAGTTTGGATAAACTTTGAAATACAATGTAGGGATCACCTGAACTAGATTTATTTAAACCTATATTTCAGTGTATCTTGTCACGTACCTAATTATTCGATGGACGACATTATGCTAATCACATGATATAAATATTATTTACTTAACAAGCACAATTTTTCTTCCGTTCTAAAATATTCTTTTTTTATGTACGGCAAACGAGCAGACGGATTACCTGATGGTAAGCAATCAGCGTCGCCCATGGACACCCACAACAAAGAAGGAGTGCGTTGCCGACCTTTTAGGGACTATATTTTAGATGTTTTTATATATTGCAAGGAACATCTTTTGCATAGCAAATTAATTCCAATCTGACAAATAATTACGTTTTGAATTTCGAAGTTTGTTATAGCTTAGTATAAGCATAGTAATATATTGTAGTATAAACTACAGGATGAGGAGTTAACCTAACCTAACAATTGGGTAGTTTCCTAGGTCAAAAATAAATTAATTCAACGTTTCAATACAATAAAATATTGAAAAATAACTATTTGACGCAAAAAAATCTATGACGTCATAACTCGGTTTTTCATACAAATATCATAGAAAAGTATCGTTTTTGACATTTGGATAAAAGTATTGAATTTGACTAGTTGGAAACTACCGTATTGGTCTGTTTTCAAAATGGCTGCCAAAATGACAGCCATACTCCTTAGACATCAATGATGTATAAATCTATAGATACGTTGTCCGCGCTCTAAAATGGCAACATGAAATGAAGGCAATTTGACAACATCGCGCTTAGTCACGCACCAACCTCCCGCGCGACGCTACGTTTGTTATAATTTATATCGTGTGTGTAAACCTGTGCGAAACTAAAGAAAGCATGCCGTCGTGTGTGTTCAGAGGATGTACAAATTATACTCTAAAAGTTAAATACAAAAATGTGTCATTTCATGCGTAAGTTCACCAAACAACCTATTTTTATTTTATTTTTTTCGACGCCGGTGCCCGCCATCTTGTGGCGGCCGGCGCATGAAGGTATAGTCACGTCACGTGCCGATGTAACTGAAGATGTATATTTATCTCCCTCTAGCAAAGGCATTCCACTATACGATGTCATATTTGCTTTCCCTTTCTTTAGTCGTAGAAGTAGTTATCTTGTATTTTCGCCGTTTTTAAGCGCCGCGATGTTGGTTCATGACGTGTCTATATATAATACGTCATTGTTAGACATTAATTACTTCAGATAACATTAATTTTGAACGATGTTAGAAGTTCTAGAAATAAACAAAAAAAAGTTTAATCATATTTTTATTTTGAAATATCACATTTGAATTACATTTAGTTGACAACGCGAACTTTGTTACCCTCTTCACTGCTGGCACTCTCGGAGCTCTCAGCGGAGGCACTCTCGTCCTCATTAGATTCTGATGCGGGAGGGTTGACGAGGGCATCGCTGTCCCAGTCGAAGTCAATACCAGTGACTTCTGTGAACCAGTCGTGGTAGTATCCGGGACGGACGTAACCTGAACAAAAAGGAAGGAATTAGTTTTAAAATGTTTATATTCTGCTGTTTAATAGGATGCAGTTTTTTAGTTATGATACATATATTAATATTTATATTTTTGATGATGATTACTCATCAAATTACTATAGACTCCCTCTCGCGAGGTGATATTCGCCTCGGTATGCCGAGATCGAGTGTCACACTCTTACTGACTAAAAACCCCCCGTTTCTTCTCCTGTTCCAAGTCGGGGCTGCGGTACTTAATTGCACTTTCCTTGCAACCCCGGGTGATATAAATAATCTAGGATAACGTGAAGTTGAAAGCCTCGTCTCGATAAGTAAGCCTAAATTGGCGGGAATGTTTCTAGAATATGTACTCTCGATATTTTCTTTACTCTAGCTAGGCGGTCATTTTTTTTTAACCCCCGACCCAAAAAGGTCTGTCTGTCTGTTTGTCTGTGGCATCATAGCTCCTGAACGAATGAACAGATTTCAATTATTTTTTTTGTATTACATGTGTTTTACTGGCGAGTGTTCTTAGACATGTTTGATGAAAATCGATTGAGCCTTTTAAAAGTTAGGGGTGGTTAAAGCGGGGAAGAGAAAAACCGTCTACAAATATGCTCAAGTGGGGTATCAAATGAAAGGTTATGACTTGTACGTCACAAAAAACAAAATCTTTAATAAGTTGGCTGTGTCTGTGTCATCATAGCTCCTGGACGGATAAAACGATTCCAATTAAGTTTTTTTTGTAGTATATACTTTTTAAAGGTGGCCTATGTCTTTTGTGTCGGAGTGGGATGGGATTAAAGCTTACCTGATGGGAATGGGCTGTTGCATCCGAATGGGAACCCGGCTCCGAAGCTAACAATACCAACTTGTGTGCGCTTGCCGTCAGCATCCTCGATGGTCAGTGGGCCACCACTGTCACCCTGGTCAGTAAAGGTTAAAGGTTTAACAAAAATATTTCTTAAAATAAAAGGATTTTTCCTGTGATTTGGTAGGTATTCTACTGTTTACAAAGGGTTTATTTAAGTGTGGGAGAGCCATGCTTCGGCACGAATGGGTCGGCAAAAAACCGGCGTGAAACAACCACAGCGTTGTGTTTCGCCGTGTGAGTGAGGTTACCGGAGGCCCATTACTTCCCCTCCCCCAATCCCTCATCAATCCCTAAATCGCTCGTACTGACACTACTACCACTACTGGCAATGTACTCGTAACTCCTCCGTTGCGGGTGTCCATGGGCGGCTCTGATTGATTGCTTACCATCAGGTAATCCGTCTGTGCTCGTTTGCCGACCTATTACATAAAAAAAGGTTTCACTAAGTACCGTATGTAGAAGGGTAGTATTTTTGTAAATAAATAAAGTACTCTACAGGAGGGTCCATCTAGTATAATACCTCTAGCTTTTTTGAGGAGGGGGAAGGGATCTTCGATTGACTTCTATTGCCCTGGGTGAGAAGAGAGAGAGAGAGAGAGTAGAAAATGTTTTATAGGTCGGTAATAACTACAGATTTTCGATGGGTCGTTGATAGCTGCGTTTACCTTATAGATAATGTTTAAGATTATTCTTATTTTGTGCATCTACTACTAATTCATCTCTGCATCACGCAAAATTGTGGCTGTTAGAGAACGCCTTTGGGAATGAGAATATTTTTGTGTATGAAGAAATAAAAATAAATAAATAAAGGTTTACCTGGCAGGAGGATTGAGAGACATTGTCGTAATAAGCAACGCAGAGAGTCTCCTCTTTAATGACTGAGGAGGTGGGGTACCAGAGCTTGCACTCCTCGTTGGAGATACCTCGCTGGTACACCCACAACAGAGTTTCAGAAGAGGTACCACCTGCAACGGGTTAGGAGCGTTATAAATACGATTGAATATCTTAATGCTATAGATTTTAAGTCTTATTTCGCTTTTGCTAATTGGATTGTTAGTTTTACATTTCAGCGTGTAAAGGCAAGTCAATTAATAGGTAGAAATTAAAAAATAACTGATTATAAGTATAGGTATAATTGGAAATTGAAAAAATAGTGTGTAGTTCATATTACACTATTTTTCACATCACATGAGTTTGTAAGTGCCCAATGTTGAGCAAATGTCTCTTCACACGAAGAAGGTTTTAGCATTTATCACCACGCTTGATCAAGGCGGATTGGTTGGCGATTTCAAACATAGATATAATTAGAAATTATAAGTTCAGGTATCCTCACGATGTTTTCATTCACCGTATGATGGTGGTGTCTAGATTATCTTAGAAAGTATATACATGTAAGTCGGAAAACTTACAATGCCGGAACAAAATTTGCATTCTACGTTAAATTTCAGTCCAACAGTGTGATTCTGTAAGACTTCATTCTAAACTTCGAATCTGAATCCGCCGTGAGTAGTAGTACACTAGCGCTACACTTGCGAGTTGAACTAAATTGACAGCATCATTTTGAAAGATAAAGTATGAAATGACGTTAAAAGTGGCATTCTAAAATTTACTTTACCCGTCATTTCGACGCTCACTTCGCACTCGAACACGATTCAAAATCAAACAAATTTTATAGAATCGACGTGCTGATTTGGATAATTGAACTTTTGGTTTACACTATATTCTTTTATACTAAAAAGTAGACTGCACCAAGCTGGCTGTAGCAGTGCTGTGTATGTGAAATTGTTAATATGAATTGTGTGTTTGTTAAGACACCCACGATACAGGAGAAAATCCTAGTGTGGGACAACGTTTTTATATAAAATAAAAGAACTGACCGTTCCAGGAGTCATCTGTACGTCCGAACCCGCTGACAATCATACGGACTCCGGAGTAATCGATGGCCTTCTGTGCGCTGCTCATCAGACGTGAAGGCTGAATATTGGCTGTGAAGAAAAAAAACACAAATGAAAATTATTTTTCCCTTAAAATTAGTAGTTTTTTTAAGGAAATCTTTGCTTCAGTGCACGCGCATTCGGCTCATGGCTATGGGCCCCGAGCGTGACTTGAAACTAGTCGGGTGTCTGTAGGTATGTGAGTACTAACACACACATTAACATAATATAATATTCAATGATACTTATTATGAAAGTAGAATATTCTTGTATTTGTTTTTATTTAATTCAGTATGTGGTTGCCCTAGTTATATTACTGAAGGTAGAAAATTTTCTATTATGATGGCCAAGTTCTCAAAATTCGGACGACTTGACCATCATTTACAATTAATATAATGTAATAAGGTCGTGAAGTCTGCTTGCGACCACGACCTGCGCAACCAGGTCGAAATGTCAAGCCTACCAAGATATTGAAATAATTACTTTTCGCGTTAATATCATTATGTTAACATGAAAAAAGAAAGTTTGATAGTTAGTATCATTTAATCAACTTTGGTTAAACAAATGTAGCTGAAAAATATTTTTCTAGACTATTTTTTATCATTGGCATTTTTTTCTAGTGAATGATTTATGTATTATATAATTTCTATAATTATTATCTATAGCAAAACATTCAAAAATATTTAATTTATCTATTGACGTAGTTTGGAATTAGGCTGTATGACGTGATTGTCAGTGCTTCTTCCTGCGCGTGAGCGATAAACAGATAATAAAAAAAGACAACAGAAAAATAAATAAAGTTATCTAAGTATATTGAGATAGGTAAATTTTATTTATAAAATGCATTGCTAATGAATCCTTAACAATGGAAATGTTTTTTGAAAATTGCTTTGCTTCCAACGGTTTTTTTTTCGTTCAATGTAGAAAATATGTTTCAAAGGTTTCGCTAAATGCTGTTAAATAAGAAATCTAAGTACGTAGATAAGACGTGACATTAATAGAGTAATCCATTCTTAAGATAAGCATCGGATATGAGATAAGTAGGTGTTGGAAAATACAGAATTTCTTCGCGAAACATTAATAAACTAGGTGTGGTAGAACCAAGCTTCGGCACGAATGGGTCAGCTCGACTGCAGTAATGCCATGGCCTCACAGAAAACCGGCGTAAAACAACCACAGTTTTGTGTTTCGCCGTGTGATTGAGGTTATCGGAGGCCCGATCCTTCCCTCCCCCAATTCCTAATCCCCGAAATGCCGGCAATTTACTCGTAACTCCTCTGTTGTTCATGGGCGGCGCTGATTGCTTACCATCAGGTAATCCGCAAGCTCGTTTGCCGACCTATTACTTAAAAATAAACTTACCGGAGTAGGGGATGTGGTGGTCAAGTCCAATCAGGGCCAGGTCAGCGGTTTGGACTCCAGCCGCGATCTCATTATACTCGGGGTGAATGTACTTGCGTGTGGACTCCACGATCACCTCTGGACGGGTCACGTGGACCACGCCGAAACGGACGACGAAAGTGATGCGGCTGATGGGATAGGAAATATTTGAAAATATAATTCATTTACTATATATTTAAAATTTAGTTAGCTTTAGCCAGCAGTTGCGTCCGCGTTACCCAATAACAAGTATTTAATTCCACACTAAACTATCTCTGTGCCAAGTTTAACGATTGCATCTAAATTCATTCAGGAGTTTTTGCGTGTACGCGTAAAAAATATACATTCATTCAAATATCTACCTACACAATTATTCGCATTTATCTATAACTAGCGACCCGCCCCAGCTTCTCACAGGTTTAAACTTCTCCACTATTTAATTGATGTTATTGTTCATACATATAAACCTTCATCTTCAATCACTCACTCTATAAAAATCAACCGCATCAAAATCCGTTGCATAATTTTAAAGATTTAAGCATACATGGGGACAGACAGAGAAAGCGACTTTGTTTAATACTATGTAGTGATGAATGTAAAAACAATCTTCCATTGATAACTTACTTGGCCAGGCAGTGAGCGGCTGTGAGCACCCATTTGTGGTGCATGAGGGAGCCACCACAGGAGAAGACTGATCCATCAGGAGCCACCATCCGCAAGCTACCCTGGAAGGGGAACTGGCCCTCAGCTGCTGGCTGACCAGCAACTATCCTTGATGCTGACGGCAGAGCTAAAAGAACAAGAAGGTGATGGATTATTGGTGATTTTTAAGGAAAAGTATGGAAGGTTTTAGATGACAAATGAGTTGGAATATGAAGATAGTTTTTGGATGATAAGAGTTTAAGCCTTCAGAAAGTCTTCCACAAAAAAGTAAATTCCAGAGGTCATAAAATGCAACAATATTTTTTCGGTGGTTTTAATAAATCTGCCATTCTCTCTTGCCCCACCAAGTGCAGGAGATATTATTGGATGAAGTTCCTCTTTCAAAGAAGAGTCTAGAATAGTAGTTTCGGAAATCATACAAACTGTTTAGAACGATCTTCACTTTTAAATACCTAGTGAAACAGGTGTTGCTTATCATAGAATGCTAAATAATCTAATAGCAGTATAAAAATAAGGAATGAGGTCTCAATTAACCATAGTCAGGGTTGTCGGTTAAGCACAATAGTTTACCGCGGCCCCGACCTAAAGCAGGAGAAGGAAAGGGATGATTTTTAGTCAGCAAGAGTTTCCTGGAGACTTGCTGACTAAAAATCACCGAGAGAAGATTGATGGTTTTTGAAAAAATTTTGTACTGACACTTATTTCTTAATGATAGCAATCTACACAAAAGTGTAGATTGCTATAAGTTTAGACTTAAACTTTTCACTAATGATATTCAAAATTGTAGAATTAAAATTTGTAATAATCTTACCATCTCTCATCTCTTCGATGATGGCCGGCTCAGCTTGCAGGATCTCCATACCCTAAAATAACGAAGAAGTTAACTTCTTATCTGACATAGTAAATAGTTAATTAAATTTACATCATCAGGCTACAAGTGCCCACAGCTGCGTAGAGGTCTCTTCTCAAAAAGTAAGGATAGATAGATGATAGACCATAGATAATGGTTTTTATATGCATACATTGGTTCAAATATGCACACTCCTTTTCTTTTTCGCATATTTTTTTTAATGCAATAGGTCGGCAAACGAGAAGACGGATTACCTGATGGTAAGCAATCAGCGCCGCCCATGGACACTCGCAACGGAGGAGTTACGAGTGCGCTGCCGACCTTTTAGGGATTAGGGATTTGGAGATTTAGGAACTGGGGAGGGATTAAGGAAGGGGAAGGATTAGGCCTCCGGAAACCTCACTCACACGGCGAAACACAACAGTGTGGTTGTTTCACGCCGGTTTTCTGTGAGGCCGTGGTATCACTCCGGTCGAGCCGACCCATTCGTGCCGAAGCATGACTCTCCCACACTTAAATGTGGAATGTCCACATGTCCACATTAGGAACCTCATCAGACTCTTTCTGACTAAGAACTGCTCAGTACCTTCTCCAGCCCTGGGTCGGTGCTGCGGCCCAACCCTGGCTGGATATGTGATCTAGCCGGGATTGGATACTCCTATCAAAATTCTTCTTCCATACCGAGTGCATCTTTGACCAATACTTTTATAGATTAATGTTAGGTTTTTTAATGATTAGGTAAGTGTGGGCATGGATGCGACGAATGCTTCGGCGATACCCGCCCCTCCGACACATGGGTAAGTGGAGGAACACCGGGTTGGTTTTTAGTCAGTATGAGTCTGACAGTACCCTTCGCCCTTCCCCGAGGGGTCTCTATGAGGATTTTCCAACCCGACACCAAAAAAAAAAGACAAGTGTGGGCATTTTTAGTTTAAGAAGTAAGGTTTTTCCTTATTATTTCCTTTGTATGTTTTTAATTCTTAAGTTTAGTTCATAATTAAGGTGTTGTATGATTTGTTTTTGATTTTGGTATGTTGGTTTTAATTAGTAAATAAGTACTTAGATTTAGTTATAGGCATAAGCTATCGCATAGGTCAATACTGTAATGGTAGTATTAGGTAAGATTTTTGAATAAATAAATAAATTAAAAAATATTTGTTTATCCAAAGGACGTCCTTCAATGTGTAGTTTTAGTAATATCTTTAATGCTTATGCTTATTGAAGGTTCTGATTCGCAAAAATTGCTCACTGCTCACTGGTAATTCTTTAACATGGACATCTTATATAAAAGTTGCTAAAAAGGTTAAGTGTTATTATGATTTATTTATATCATCACATATTATTTTAATCGGCCAAACATCACCGTTTTATGACGGATATCCCACCCACGAAAGCGTAGGAGTGGCTTCTTTGCCATTGTCTGTATATCTCGACTGATTTAATGTCGTGTTGTCCAGGAGGTTAAGGCTTCTCATGCATGAGGGTTCGAAACCTGGCGAGTACCAATGTGACTTTTTCCATGTAGAATGTACCAATGTACTTTCTATGATTATTTAGATACCACTGACAAACGTTGAAGGAAAACATCGTGAGGAAACCTGGACTTACAATTTCTAATAAGTTCTCGTCTTGGGCAAGCGTGGTGATTAATGCTCAAATCTTCTCCATGTGAGAAGAAGCCTATGGCTAACAGTGGACACTTAAAGGCTGATTTGATGTAAGTAAGTATATTGGCCGAAAGGTATAAAACCTGGATGTCTTCTAGGCCCGAGTGAATTATTATGGGTAATCGTGCTCCATCGCTGGTCACATCATCGCTAACCACCAGGCGTGCTTAAGGCCAAAAAGGCCCATTACGAAAACAAATTTGCTTACTCACCTGTACGAAGCTTAAAATGAAGAATATGCCAAAAATATAATAAGCAGCCATGTTTCTTATTTGCCAACTAATGTAAATATGGCGAAAAATTTTAACTGCTTAAATATAAGTAGTGTATACTATCTCTAGTGGGTAAAAACTATGTTGTTGTTGTTGTTGTGGGATTTTTCATTAAGATTAAGATAAAGAATTAATTAATTTGGTTTTTTTTAATATTTAATACGTACAACGTTTTTCACGCGGTCTATCTTTGATTGATAGGGTAAGGTAAGGATTATAATGGTAAAATCTTTGATGAATTCTAATAATGGCCATTCACATCATTTTCACATTCCAATAATTCAAATCTTAAACTTGACAGTTAGTTTTAGTTAGGTAGGTACCCACCTACTTAGATACAGAAAAAAAATCGTTATATTAATGTTTTTAAATAAATATTAGTCGGGGTTGAGAATAATGTTCCAAATTTAAATTCAAATCCGGGTAACCGGGAAAATCTGATATTGGTTTTTGCGTGTGTTTTTTTTTTACAAAATGATCAGTTTTTTTAATAAGTACTACCAGAGGTTTAACTCTTTTTGAATAGTGGCTATCGTGAGGAATATTTAATTTATTAAAAACTAGCTACTCTCGCGCTGTTTCACCCACTGCTCAGCTCCATTTGATCGCGTGATGTTTTATAGCCTATAGCACTCAGGAACATTGTAGCTATCTATCAATGAAATAATTTTGGCCATCCGACCAACGGTTCCAAAGATTACCCCCTACATACAAACTTACAAACCTACAAATTTTACCTCTTTATAATATTAGTATACCTAGATAACGACGTACGTCACCGCGACGCGCACGCAACTCATGAATAAGAGTCCCGTATTGACTTGAAACTGGTCGAGCTTTTCTTAGTCAATTCACGTGACTAAGTCAATTTAGGGACTAAGTTAATATAGTAATTTTTCAATAAACTAACAAAGGTTAATTTAATTTAGTATATTCATATTGAACATACAGATAAACACTTTGATTCAACTTTATATTTATATTGATACGATCTATAACAGTAGATAGCTACATAACATGTGTCATTTTGGGTATTTCACTGTATAAGCGCTTGTGTTATCACTTTATAAGTTCCGTATTTATGTGGCAGATAGTTTATACAAATAACGTTTTATATTCTTGTCTGTCTGATGCATAGCTTATGACTAAAACAATGAGAAATATCGTGGCATGTCGTGACGGAATGTCCGGGTATCATAAATTTTTCTTTAAAATACATTGCTTCACTATAGGATTTTCTCCTGTGTCGTGGGTGCGTTTACAAACATACAAATTCACATCCACAAACCACCAAGACCCGGAACGGCAATTTGTGGATCACACAAAGTGTTGTATCGCGAAGGAGCCAAACCTGCGACTCGTTGCATAGTAGCCAGTTGACCAGCCACTACGCCAACCATGCAGTTAAGCATTTGACACCACGCAAAATTGTTTCCAATGCCGCGCCGTCTGCTGAACATTGACCCTATTTGGCCCCATTTGATACTGAACGGTGCTCGGTGTGTCAGACCCTTACCGACTAAAAACCCCCGTTCCATCTCCTGCTCTAGGCCAAGAACGCGGTGCCTCATTGCGCTTACCCCACAACCCCGGCTGAACATCAGCCCGACTTTTACTAGCTGGTGTTTCTCCTAAGATTAGTGGGGGAGAGCCATGCTTCTTAACGAAGGGTCGGCTCGACTCGAGTGATACCACAGCCTCACAGAAAACCAGCTTGAAACAACAACAGCGCTGTGTTTCGCCAGGTGAGTTAGGTTAAACGGAGGAACAATCACCCCATCACCAATCCAGCCCCAATCCCTAAATCTCCACATCCCTTATCGCCAAATGATCGGCAAAGCACGCGTTACTCCTCCGTTTAAATGAAAAAATAAAAATAAGAGTATAGGTATGTAGGTACTTTTCTCACAATGACGATATCACCGCCATCAAATTCAAAAGAAAATTCAATTCAGTCACGAGTTCATGACAGAAATCGACTCACCTTATAAGATATAACCCTTAACTGCCGCTGATGGGTCCGTAAGACCGGGTTAATGAATTAGACGGTTGGATGGCATTGTGAACAATGAACATGTCTTCGTAACAAAATGAAAATTGGATTTTTATGAAGACGCTACGTAGGTACTTACCTACTTACCAAAATTTTGTTTACTTAGTAATCGCTATAGAAGATATTTTTAGTTTTATTTATTTTAATTTATTACTTTCTTTGGTAAATAGAATCTCGTTTCTATTAATATTAATCATATTTAAATAATTATAGGAAATTCTATAAAACATATTGGTCGTATTTAAATAACATGCTAATTGAGTTAATCTTCAAATTCATCAGTTATCCATATTGAAAACCAATCAATAATGGCCAACAAATAAATTCGTGAAAAATGCTACAGTACCTAGGTATAAATGCACTAATTAAAATTATACCTCTAAAGAAAGTGCTAGGCTTTCATTTTCGATAGAAAGAACAAAAATAGAAGAAAAAGAAAGAAGAAGGAGATGGGAAATTACTTTAAGTAAATTCCCGTCATTTAAGGCATTCAAGTATTTATCATTTCGTTTCTAATCATTTGATTTATAAAGCAACTGGCAGTTCTCGCGGGCCGTGGCAATGACGCTGAATGACGTAAGCAACGTTGACACATAGTGCTATTATTAAATACAGCGGATAGTGAATAGTAAATTTGCCTCAGCTATCGCCAACGTCCATACCATGTTGAAAGCACTGGTTCTCGTCCGATCACCGAAGTTAAGCAACATCGGGCGCGGTTAGTACTTGGATGGGTGACCGCCTGGGAATACCGCGTGACGTTAGCTTTTTGCACTCGAATTGATTATTTTATGTATTTCTGTATTTTTAATTATTTTATATAAATTGCTTAAATTGTTACTTCGTTATCAATGTCCTAAAAAAACATTTTATTTTGATGGTACAATATAATTATTTTTTATGTTTCTAAAGGTTTATAATTATTACGTCGTGGATACTTAAAAATAAGTTATCGTTCACAAGGAGGATATTTAAGAAAACCTGATTAAAAAAAAAAATGTGAGCGGCTGTAAATATATTTTTATAAAATACAATTTCACCACTTATAGAGAAAACTGAACGTAATGGCAGCATTATTTTTTTCAATGTGTGCGATACGTCATTCGTAAATACAAGAATCATAATTATGCACACATAAATTTGAATCTTGTTTCAACTTTATTTATTTATTAAGCTTTATGCACACAAATTGTACAAAGGCGGACTTAATGCCGTAGGTAGGCATTATCTACCAGTCTGACCTTTGGGTGATGCAGAGATGAGTGAAAACGGTGAGCGCATAAAGACAAAAAAAACTCAATATAATAATGTATAAGTTTTAAACAAATACAATAACAATATAATCTTCTTATATATTAATATGAATTGCTGTTCGTTACTCTCGCTAAAACTGGAGGACGACTGGAACATTTTGGATACCTAATTTTGGTCTTAAAATATTCGTTGGAGTCCAGTGAAGGTACGTAAGGTGAACATATACTGAGTTATTTTTAAGGCTGCACGCCGAGGTCAGCTAGTCTTATATATAAAAATGGATCGCAAAATAAATATATAAATGTAAGTAGCAAAATAAATAAATGTAAGCGCATAACTCAATAACGCCTGGACCAATTTGGCCAATTCATTTTTTAAGATGTTCGTTGAAGTCCAAGGATGGTTCTTACGGCGAGAAAAAATCGAATAATTGCCGGGAAAACCCTAAAAACAGTCCTATTCTTTTTCACATACAAACGTTTTCTAACTAAAACGTCGAATCAATTTGAGCTTTATTGCTGTTGCACATAAGGTTCATATTAAATAACAAGCACTCACTGTTATCTAAGAAATAAGTGAAAGAAGAAAAGGTGTGTTCCTAACGTCAAAAAGTAAATTTGCACTTTCTTACCGCTAAACAAAGTTCAAATTCAATCATATCTATCAAAACAGTGTGCGCGTGTGCTTTGGAGCTGGAGCACAGAATTCGTCGTTTGAGGATTAATAAGTCGGGTACCGAAAACAAAAAAAAATCCCGATTTGAATGATTCTTTCAGTGTTATGTAGTCCATTTATCGAGGAAGGTATATTTTATTTAATTCAAAATTAGGGATCTGTAATAAAATTGCTATTTTGTAACACAAGGAGTAAAATCGAAAACCTATTTTTGCGTGCGCTGCAATAACTATTGTCCATAGAACAAAATGATGTACTACGGGTTTGTAGATTCGATTAAAACCTACAAAAAGTCCGCGAGAGCATATATCTAGCTATCATGGTTTAATCACAATACCCGATTTTGTGTTCAAAATAATTATTAAATTGTCTGAAGGAAAAAAAGCGTTAAATATGTATCGTAATATTATTCTTTATCGGAATTAAGCATTATGTTATCAAGAGTATTTATTTAGAAGTATTTTAAAATACTTTTTTATTTCCTCTCAATCTCTCAATCGTTTAAAAGTTATCATGTGTGTAAGATGATAAGAGTTGGTACCTTATTAATGAGTTATGGACCATAGAGTTTTTTATCAACATAAAATCCTGTAATAATATTTTTCGTAATATATTTGTTGACGATTGTAAGTATAAGATCTTTGAAGAGTATAAGAAATACATTTCTAAACTAACTCTGCTAAGGAAAAGGAAATCCAAGGAAAAACATACATCTTAATTTGGAAATGTCGTTGCGGAAGCCATACGATGTAAATGAATTAAATGAGTATATTACTGTAAATGCACCCAAGTTCTTTAATGGCCAGGTAATGGCAAACAATAGTGTTATGCTCAGTGTTGTTTCAATGAGGGAAAAATATTTTTTGGATGCTCCAGGCGGAACCGACAAAACTTTCATTAGCTACTAATATGATATTAGCAAAATTAAGGTCTCAGGGAAAACTAGCTTTGGCAGTAGCGTCATCTGGAATCGCTGCTACAATATTAGCTGGCGTACGCACAGCTCATTACACTCTTAAACTAACATAACCTAACCGTTCCGTTACAGAA